CCGCCAACTCTCGAGCTACTCTTTACCAACGAATAGTGGAATTGACCATCGCATTATAATACCATCACAGCTGAAAGGGCGAGCATGTTCAGGGACGGGTTTCGATCCCTCAGCTCGCATATTGTAATGTATGAAACCATCAGTTATATATATATACATATATATATATTTGCGTATGTATAAGAAATATGATAAGTATGTTTGTTTGTTTGTAATTAAGCACAATGGGCCATCTGTGCTCTGGCCACCACGGGTATCGAAACCCGGATTCTAGCGTTGTAAGTCCGCAGACATACCGCTGTGCCACTGGGGGGCTGATCACTGTGATTGAGATATCCTCATTTCTTTTAGGAAATAGAGAAACCCGACATAAGAAATTAAAGGTTATGTTCCAGTGACTCTCATTCTGTTATGGTCACCCAATTGATAAGGAGAGAGAGTCTTTAAAAAATTGTAGTAGATTACACCATTTGTTTCAGGGACAGACATTATTGTCATTTGCTGTGAGTTTGATGAAGTCACTTGAATAATGAAAACCCTGATAATTCTGGATACCAGCATAATAGTACGTGGTTGTAAGGCCCCCCCCCCCCAAAAAAAAAGAGAAGGATTTATCTCGAAACTTAACTTGATGCTGGAATAATCAATTTGTAGAAATCAAACAAGATCAACATTGCATCATATGTTTAAAAATGGTATGCCAAAGGTTGTTCATTGCGTTTAAGACTCTAGACTTGATGTGGATTTCCCAAATAATGAACTAGCAAAAAGAGGGAGAAATGCCCTACCTCAAATGTAATTCTGCAAACAGAACCAAAGACAGAAATGGCAGCCCTTCCCCCCAATGACTTAGCGTTAAATATAAAGATCTATAACACTAAAACTCGGGTTGTAATACTCCCGATGGGCAGAGTATAAATAGACCATTGTGCTTTGTGCTGAAAAACAAATAAGGACTGGCAAGAAAAACAATATGTTCATGGTTAGTGTATTAGAATATATAAATTTGCGAGAATTCAGTACCTTTGTTCAGTGGATAATTCAGGGATTGACTGGTCAATCAAATTTCAGAGTAAGAAACGACCGAATAATATTGCATTTGAAAATAATAATGAGAATAATGGTGAGCATTTTAATATAAATACTTTGTATTAATACCTGTGCCCCCCCCCCAGTGGCACAGCGGTATGTCTGCAGACTTACAACGCTAGAAACCGGGTTTCGATACCCGTGGTGGACAGAGCACAGATAGCCCTTTGTGTAGCTTTGTGCTTTACTACAAACAAATAAATATTAATACCTGTAAAAAGCGGAACTTCTGTAAGCTGTTCTGTTGCATTTGGTACTTCCTTAAAACAGAAGTGTTCAAATTTAAATAACTGTTTTGAATCCAGTTGTGAAAGCCCATATTATAGAATTCCTGTGTCAGTACTTCATTGGAAGGAATATTTACCCCAGGTTGCTCAACTTTAGTCTTCATCTCTTATTAGCAATGTTACATTTTCACATTTTCTAGTGTTAAATAAAAACAAAACACATAGTTATGAACATTTTCGCATAGTATAAGTGGCGCTGCAGGTGTGACACGTCACGAGACTATTACGTCATTGCTAAACAAGCCAAAATCTCACATTGGAATTTTGGCTCGTCAGAACCTTAATTTGGACATATTGTAATTTATTAATATTAATAAGAACAACATTTAGTTTCCTGATTTGTTTCGTGAGACCTAGGTTTCATTTCAAAGATATGTCCACCATGAATCCCGAATAGTAAGTACTACTACACTAGTTACTGTTAGTGTTAACGTTGGTACAGCACCACTGGTTGTACTACTAGTTTGCTGTGGCCTATGGTAGATTTTGCGTTTTTTACTTTTTGAGTCTTGACCCAGTTGAATCACTGTGCGGTTTGTGTAGCTAGCTATCAAAAATTACAATCTCACTCAGTACTGTACATTTAACTTTAAGTTATATTAATACTAATAGTGTTACTGTTAGTGTAATAGTAATAGTGAAATCTAACCCGATAGTGTTACAAAACAAAGTAAAATAGGCCTAATGAAAAAGAAGATTTCTAAAAGTTTTTTTCAGCAAAAAAACGTTTTATTAACATGAAAATTTGCCTTGAAAGTTGAAGCTTTGTCAGAAGGTTTATACCAAACTGAACACTGTAGTATTAGGTACTCTGTAGTAGTAGTAGTAGTGGTACTAGTAGGCTTCGTACCATCCACAAACAGACAAAGCTTAAAAATGAAAGTTCAGTGAATCCTTCATTTTAGATGGTTGGCATGTTTTGGAAGTTTATACTCATTAATTTGGCTCAAGCACTACAAAACGTAGCTATAATTTTGCATAATTAAAATATTCACCCTGTGAAAGTAATGTTAGGTATCCATTGTGAAATTTCATTTAGAAAACAAATATACTAAAACTCAAATTAAATTGAACTTAGAAGTAACTATTAATGACTAAGTATTCCCAGTCGACTATTCTTTAAATATAAAAAACTGCAATATGTACTAACCATTTCCAAACCTACAGCTAATATCTACATACTTAAAGTAGATGTTTAAATGGAAGGTCAAGCACTGGATGTTACATTTGTATGAAGGCTGAAACCTAATTGTATATAGTGAGTTGCTAGAACTATCATTTTAAGCATCATAGATATAAACCTATCTTATTTTAAACCATATTTTCAAAAAATGAAACACAATGTAGGTCAGAACTTAAATGCTCTGTGCTAATGAGGTAATGTATGTTAAACTTGTGAATATATAACAAGTTCACATAACACTGATAATACCAACATCTACCATAGTAATATAAGAAAAGACATGGTGACAGGAGATGTCTTGGCCCATTGTAAGAAGCAAAGTATGGAAATATACACAAATAAAAGCAACTTATCTTTAAATTTCATAATATATGAAAGTTATTCATAGTGATAACTCACAAAATATCCAAAAATGAAAGATGGTAAAAAAAGTTTATTTGAAATCATGTTTAGGGTTTTTAAGTTTGTTTGTAACCATGCACAAAGCTATACAATGGGCTATCTGTGCTATGCCACCACGGGTATCAAAACCCGGTTTCTAGTGTTGTAAGTCCACAGACTTACTGCCACTGGGGGCATTTTCCAATTATAAATAATTGCCACTGGGGGGGTGGGGTGAGTTTTTAAGTATCAATAAGATTATGCGTACATTTAAACTACAGTTTTTTTTAGAATTTCCACATTACTGGAGAAGTATTCTGCTTTAAACCATTTCATACATTCATATAATGTCAAAAACCTTTACACTGTGTTGTTTTACAAGCTCAAAATTAAAAAAATGTAGAAAACAGTTTTAGTGTGATAAATCAACAAATTATTTAAAACTTGTAGCATAATGTAAGTCTAGAAATATCCAAACTGGGTGATAAATATGAACTAATTTTAGCATTATAAACATTTTTTTACCCTGCATTTATTCAATGCATACCTATTTGTCAAAATATCTTCATATAGATAAGAAATAATAAAGCATCTACAAAAAAAGGGGGCCATTTTGTCCTTCAAGGTTGTCCCTTAACATCCAATCCTAGAAAAACAAGTCACTGATTCCCTTTTTAAAGGTGCTTGCCTCTGCTGTGACTGATGGCAGTGCATTTCTTAAGATAATAGCCCCATTAGAAAAATAAAGCTGAATTTTGAAATCTTGAACTGTGTCCATGAATTTTCAAAATTCAACACAATGAAATAAAAGGCCCTGATCCTATAATTCCCTCCAGATAATGTTCTAAAGTTCAATAAAGTCACCTCAACTCATCCATTTTCTTTTTAATGTTCTTAATGTTAAAATAATAATAGCAGCTAAGCCTATTCTTAAATCTGCAATGCTTATCTAATACTTGTATTGAAAACTGTTGTTTTAACATGTTCTATCATTGGGTGGGTTCTTTTTGAATTATTTTGCAAAAACGTAGCCAGTCCATGTAATGATAAAAATTTATTTCGTCATTAACATTTGTTACGGGTTATGTTTGCTTTGACACAAATTGTAGGCTTATGTTTACAAACACTTTTGAACTTAATCTCCAAAACCACTGTAGGCCTAATACACAAATAATGTTTAAACAGAATTTTCCTCAATTGGTAATAAACCTCACTAACTTACTGATTAGGTTAACCCTCTCCAGACAGGTCAAAGGCCATGTCATCGCGTTTGTTGACTTGTATTCAAAATTTTATTGAACTATTATTTCATGAATTTATGTCGATAAGTTTGGTATCAAACTGTAGATTGTAATTCAAGTTTTAGTATTATATGTTGTTGAATTTCTTGATCTAAAAGTAAATATTATAAAAACACAGTTAAACATTGATTTTTGTGTGTCACATGGTATGTTGAATGCAGCACTGGTTCAAATTAGATGTTTGCAATATCCAGTTCTAAGTCTATAGTTTCATATGAATTAGGAACTCAAATTACTGATATTGACAAGCTAGAATATAAAGTAAGAACCTCATATCTTTTCTATTTGCTGAAATATCACTCATTTACTGAATCAAACATAGTGGCCCAGCTCACCTCTTTTCATTTTTCGAAGTGGTCCCTCTTATACACTTACTTCAATAAATGATGTGAATAATCAAACAAAAGCTCGGAATGTCCCCCTAGTGGCTTTCTCAACCATTTTCTTGTGTTGGGATGTCATCTCATTCTTTCGAACCAAGATTTCAAGGAGGTAGGTTGTGTCTTTAGTCTGCTCAAAACTTCATATTTTGTAGACCCAAATACAGCTTAGTTACTAACTTTGATAAATTATAGTAGAATTCTGTGGTATCGATTTAGTAATTTATGATTTATTTTTTTGGTTATTCAACTGTGTATATAAAAGCTAAAACAATTATTTCATTTCCCCTCATATGCAAAATTTTAAAAGGCTTAGCAACAACCTACATCAAACAGCAACCAAGTACAAAGGTCGTAACTAGAAGAGATAATTGTTTCCTTTACTTCTTTATTTACTGTTCTATGTTTTAAGAAAAATAATTTTAAGAACTTATTTCTAAATAGTAATAATCTATATACATATATAATGTATAATAGTGGAAATGTGACTATATTTTACAAAATACTAGTCAATTAAAACACAGCCAAGACAGATAACTTTGTAAAGATAAAAGGTCAGTTTTATATTAAAATGAGAGCACGTGTGCCGCATCATTGTAACTTCTGTATTGTTAGCCAGGTACGGCTGAAAGCTCAATATAGAAATAAAAGTAATGAATGTATAATGTTATGAGATTTAAGCTATTTAGCTTAACATTTAAGTTTTCATGTTATAATTTGTTGTCATTCTAGAACAAAAGAGGCATAATTT